CTGACAACGAGCCAAGGAAGTGATGGAGCCACTCTGTGCGAGGCCCACAGTCCTCAGGAACAGAAGCAAGGGCAAAAAAGGTGTCACTTAAAGCACAGCACTTTGCTGTACACAGAGCAGGAGCAGGGGTTCCCCTGCCCTACTGCAGCCTCACTCAGCAGTAACAGTGTGTCGAGAACCTTGTAAATTAGAAACTGAAAACAAAGCACAGACAAGATGTTTGTTTTTTTCTTTAAAGACAACAGAATCCACCACCTGCTCTCAAATGGAGCAGATGATCTGATGGCAAAGGTTATTCAGACTAAGACTGCCTACCATAGCTCTGGCCACAAATTTCTTGGCAGCATTAAATCTGTTAAGCAAAACAATTCGGCCCTGAAGGGTAAATCCATGGGAAAGTTATTGAAACTTTCAATTCCTTGTATGGGCTCTTGTACAATCCCCAGCAGGTGGATATTTGCCAAATGCTAACCAGGCACTTTCATCAAGGCTCCTTTGAGGATCCAAGAGTTCAGGGTGTATTTATAGGAAATAAGGCAAGGTGCTGACTCTGAGAAAATAAACAAAATCCACAGGGAAAACAATCCGATATTATAAATGACAACACGGCCAGCTCTCAACAAATGAAGATTCAAGGTGCTTTCCCAGAGCTAAGGGAAACCTTCAAGACTGATAAAGAACAAATATTGTTCTTCATTCACACATCCTGCAACAGGTATAAAACCACACTCCAGTCCCACTTAAAGCCCATCAGATTTTAAGTGGCAAATAAACATCAAGGCCCTCAGTCCTGAACAAAAGCACCTTTTATAGCAGATTTTTATAAAACAAATGCTTCTCCATGAACAAGGGAGAGGCTGTACTGGGTTGGCATTCCCCTACATGAGGTTTCCAGCTATCAGTGGAACGATCCAAGGTTTTCCAGCTAGAAGGAACACCTTGAATCCAGAATTCCTGAACAGGGCTCCCACCTTGCAAGTCAAAAGCCCCAAAAAGGGGTTTCTCCAAGCCTGTGAAGGGCAGAAGATGGGTGATTTACCTTTTTATTTGTTTATTTAAGTGAGCCTGCGGGTTGCCAGCTGTTACATCCCACGTAATGCTACCTGGGTCACATCCACCAGGGTGTCAGCTACAGCCTCTCAGGACACATCGGAGAAGAGCCGAGAGCTGCACCAGGTGAAATCCGTGCCTGGAGAAACACGGCCACGTCAGGAGCAGGCCAGGACCAGAGGCACAGCTCAGCCAAGCCAGCACAGAGCCCGAAGCAGGGCCCAGTGTTGAGCACCGAGAGAGAGCAGATCAGCAGCTCCTGGCTGCACACTCATTACAAAAAATGCAGGAGCTATATTTAGCCCAATCATGTCTCCTAATATAAAATATTGATAGTCCTTTCTTGGATTTGCAGGAAGAGAGTAATTAGCCACCATTGGAGAAAGCATAGGAAAAATTTCAGGTCAAAGTGAGCATCCTCAGGCACTGCTTTTTTCTGCTGTGACTGGCAAACACTCTCACTATATTTACAACACAAACAGGTTTCAGAGGCCTGAGCCCAGAAAAGCACTTTTAGTCATCCTGATCCCTTTGGAGGTTGTCCCTGTGCTGCCTGGGGCTGGTCAGTGGCCCCAGTAGAAAACTCAGGGTGTTCCTGGAGCACCCTGACATATCAGTGAGCAGTGTTGCCAGCTCCTCTTGAGCTGCCAAGGGGAAAAGAGAGAGGAAAATAACCTTTCCTTTCTGAACTAGGGACGTAATTCAGTTGAGGGCTGAGGCCTTATAACCTTTATAGGGAAAAAAGAAGAGGAATGACGTGCTTGAAAGTTTCCCTTGGAGCAAGAGCGGCGCACAGACTTTTCCAGTACAGAGAGCAGGGCCAGGCAACCAGCCAAGCACCCCCGGGCTGAATCCACTTTGCATCTCCATTTACACAGCTCTCCATAAAATACATGCATGCCATTTGGAAAAAACGCCAGCACATGTACGCAGGCTTCCCAAAACACAAGTCTCTTCTCTCTGCTCAGGTCAGGATGATAAAACCTAAGCAGTGCAGAAAAGCCACACCAGCAGCACAGATCCCTGTCGGTGTGGCAGCGGCTCTCAGAGAACAGCAGAAGGTTGTTCCAGCCAAAAACTTTCCTTGTTTTTCTGAGATCCATGGCTGGAGGAGCTGCCCAAGCTGGGACAGTCACCATGAACTAACTCGCCCCAGCTTTCTGCTCCTGTTTCCCTGATTTAAATTAAACTTTAGCTCCAGGGTAACGGCTTTTTGTTTGGTTGGGTTTTTTTCCCTGTGGTCACTTAGGGAGTTTTTAAACCACTGCTCACACAGTTCCTACAGTTTTTTAATCTTCACTGGAAGGTCAAGTGGCTCCACTGAAACCCCTTAAAGAGCAGTTTGGAAGTTAATAAAGGAGAAGTGAGCCAAGTCAGGGTATTGGCTTTGACATCACCTGTGAGGTCACAAGCTGCAGGTCGGATCTTGCACTGAAATTTGAGAGTCAAAACTTTGGTGTGAGGTTTTCACTTGTGAGAGGCATAAAAACCACCTGCTTATCCATTAAAAATACCCCAACTTGGTCCATAAAATGTAACCTATCTCATAAAGATCTCTCTTTGGCCCATGTTTATAGCTAACTTTACTAGAAGAAATAGTTTTCAGTTTCCCTGGAGAAATTTTAGGCTGCGAAGTGCTGCAGGCTATGGTTTCCAAAAGCAGTTTCTGCAGGAATTGGGGCAGACGGCTCCCTGGACAAAAACACTTTATGGTTTTGGGGATGCATTTGTGTAGGATGCAAAATAGGAAGGGGTTTTTATTTTTAGGCTTTGGGATCACTTGCACTGACAATAATCAGTGCCACCTGCAGACAAAGGATGCCGTTACAGGAACGTATTATTCACTGGCAGAACAGGCTCCTACGATAGTTCCTGATTTCCTGCCTTCAGCTGCAATTCAGCTGTGCCAATACAGCCAGGGCAGTAAGAGAAACCTCTCTGGTTTCGGTTTTTGGTCGTTTTTGGTTTGCTTAGGGGAGGCGGGTTGTTCGTTTGCTTTTTTAAGACAGCTCAATTTGGAAACATTAACAAGATTTCTAGGACAAGAGACAGCCCAAACCCCACTGTCTTTCTTTTGCACATCAGTCCAGGTGGGTGTTCTGAACAGGAGGGGTAATTCCAGTAGAGCTCAACCACCAATTTCTGCAGACCTTTGTCAGCAACCAGCAGTCAAAACTGCTTCAGCTTTAGCAAGCAATAATAAAATCTTACAGATGACCTGCAAACAGATTTTTCTGGGTGGTGGGGGGAAGGCAAAGCAGAAGGAAGAGAGGAGGAGACTGAATTCCTCAGAGCTCCAGCCAGCCATCTGTGATTTCAAAGGATCCAAACCTACTGCTAGAAGAAATCCTCTAACTGCAAGTTGCGATTAGAAATTTCAAAGCTGTGGGCGGGGGGCTGGGATGGATGTTAATTTTAGTACCCGGGGCTTTCTCTCAGCTTAACTCTTTCCTCGCCCTGCAGTGAAGCAGCCTGGAACGTGTCACTGTCAGACCTAACCGTGCCCCACGTCCGCAGGGGATACTGCACCTTTAGCCAGCAGCACCTCTGAGTTGTGCCTAAGCCTAAATTAGGCAAGAGGTAATTTCATGGATCTGGGAGCTGAAGAGGGCTCTTGCCACTTGTCTGTGTGACTCACCCCGAGCTCACTCCCACAGCCTGTTACAAAGGCAAGCCTGTGAGATATTTTGGCAGCGTCGCTCATGTACATCATATGCTCGCCACTTCTTTTCCTCCAACCAGATTTTTCCTGGGAGTGCAAATAAAGCTGACCTCATTTTAGTGCTGGTTTTCCAAACGGATGAATTTTTCCAAACATCTTAAAGGAACCTGCCAGCTAAAGCCACGGGACGGCAACAGCAAAAAGAGAAGTCAGAGCAATGTTTTGATGGGAGGGAAGGGAGGAGTTTTAAGTCTATTTTGAAACAGAAATCCCAGGGTCCATTTAGCAGCAAGGAAGGAAGAGCAGGAGCCCTCTGGAAAGGGCTGCACCACAAACTGGACTAGTTCTAACAAATCTTTGCTTTACTTCGTTCCCCCAGCCTCGTGACTGACACCAGGGGTTTACTGTTTAACAGAAGCTTAAATGGCATTTTCCAAAGTAGGGACTTTTAAAAAACAAGGTAGAAGATGAACTCCTGACTGAACTTTCAGACAATGTCACCATTCTTCCCTCCTGGTGGGATGGGCATGATTCCAGACCCATGCCCGCCCTGCTCCCTGTTCTAACGGCTCTGTTTGGAAATGCCAGGGGAGGAGGAGGTTTGCATTTCCTTTTTGTCGAACAACTGCCAAGATGAGTCCATTCAAGCAGCCTTTGCTCAGAAAGGCCTTTGGTCAGTAATGGCTTAAACGTTCAGTGCCACAGCTCCCGAGTGATGCAAACAAGCTGATGAATCACAGCTCCCCTCCCCTCTGGGGCAGCGTGTGGAAACATATCCAGCGCACTGTGGATAAAAGGTAAAGTCGGAATGCAGCCCTGGGAGAGCAGCTCCAGCTGCACAACGGATGTGTTTGATGCAAAGAGGAGATGAAACTCAATACATTTTAATGAGGTCTGCTGCGAGATTTTGGTTTATTTGAACCTAAAAATCAAAGGAAGATGTAAACTCCTCACAACGCTTATTAAAATCAGCCAATGGACTGATTTTGGTAGGAATGGGCCCTGCTATTGTTTGGGAGCAGATCTCAAGGCTTGGGAACAGCCCTGCTGCCAGGTCAGGAATGTGTCTTTACTGTGTGCACTGGGGTGTCACATCAAGGGCGGGGACAATTAGTGGTCACATGCTGAAAAGGGGGTGCCACCTCCTTGTTCAGAACTGAAGCACCGGACAGGAATAAAGCAAAGACAACCAAGCATTTGCTGAAATGATGCCCATTATTTTTATGGGGTTTTTTCAGCCTAAATAAATCCAAGAAAGCCACGGCTAGCCCTGTACCAAACTGTCTGTACATCGTAAGCACAACCTGCAGTGATGACCAACCAAGGTTTACATAGCAGCCTCTGGGTTCTGCTTTGGGACCCTCTGGCTTTTTTGGGGACAGCATCCAGGATTAGAAGGGAACACCTGGGAACCATCTGAGAAACCTGAGTGTGCTTCTGTTGAAGAGCCACCAGGCCATGGGCCTGAGGGAGCCATAGCATCTTCTAGGGACCATCACCAGCTGCCCCCTATCAGGGAGGGTGAGGCACCCATTTAGCAGCACCTGGGCAAGGTCTATATAAGAGGTAACTGGAGGAACCTCAGGGTACCACCACTTTTTGCAGGATCTGATGGAGGAAGGAGGGACTCAGGTAGGCCTGTTCCAGAATAACCAGTCTCAGGTTTGGTGTGGTACACTGTGGGGCAGTTCCCTCAGCAGGTGCTGGAGCAGCTGCCCCTGCCAGGGGAAAGGTTTGGCCTTTCCCCTGCTGAAGATTTGCTGTCTTGCAGGAGCCGTGGCACTGACTGAAGAGTTTTAGGAGGAAGTGAGCAGGCTGCACAACAACAGCAAAGGAGATTTATGGGAGATTGACAGGACCTTGTCTGGGACTCAGCAGCCTGGAGAGCCTCAGCCCTGCCCTCTGCAACAGAGAAGCAGGCAGTGTTCACCTCCATCCTCAAGGAGCATGTAAGTGTCTGGGGAAGGGACAGGGTGGAAGCAGGTGATTTCTGGCATTAAAAGGAAAGTTCATGTCCCACCTAAAGGCTTTTAATAAGCAAATGGGCTCACTGCTCTTGTTAAAGAGAAGCTAGCTGTGCCTTTAGGCAAAAAGTAGGGGCTACCTCCCCCTAAACCAGGCCAGACCTCTAGGAAGGTGGTGTGTGACTGCAGTGGTGATTCAAGTGACTATGGAGATTCAGGGAAGGCAGACAAAGGCTTCTTAGGCCCTGGTGATGTTCTCCTCAGTGCAAGCCATGAGTTGGCTGCAGAACCTTGTCTTGGTGAAAAGGTCTGAGGTTCTAGAACCATAGAATCCTGCTTGTGGTGCAGAATCTGCTTGGGAGCGATGGAATCCACCTTGCCAAACCAAACAAAGGTATCTCTGTCATTGGAATGGCTGACCAAAATTTTAAGGAGGGCTTCAAAGTAGGTATGGCAGTGCAGGTACCACAGGAGTGACAGGGCTGGTGAACAAAGGACTTGGGGTGACACGTACACCCAGAGCAGCTCATCTGTTCTTCAGGCAGCAGCTGCTAAAAGCAAAGCAGGAAGGCTTTACGAGGAAAAAAGGGGCAAACCAAACCTGGCATTATGTAATGTCTCACTGCTAGTCTCCCAAAAGCAACAAGGGCAGAGAGCATGATTCACTCCTCCCACCACCAATATAACTAGGTATAAAGCAACAGTAACTTGAAGGAAGTCACTCCGAGGAAAAGCAAGCTCACAAAGTATGAGAATGAGCAGTAATTTCATAAAATAGAGCCAGAGGCTTTCAAGCTCATAAAAGCCAACTCTCTACAGGCGAGGGCCAACAGGCATTCGGAATTGAAAGCATCACGCACCACCTTTTGAGTAATATAATCCCCTGAAACCAAATAAATACAATGCCTCTGTGGGCAAAAACACTGAGACAGGACTCAGCAGTAGTTCTTTTTGTCTTTTGGCAGTAGTCAGTCATTAACATCAATGAACAGCAATAAAACCAAACAAGTTTATACTCAGTTCAACACCCACTTCCAAAAAATGTCTGACTACAATGGCTTGATTCCTCTTGACAACAACAAAAGGGAATTTTGTCTGAAAGCCTAAGTGCTCACCAAGGCCAATATTTTGCTTTGCAGATTCTGATTGGCTTCGGGGTAAATTATCAGTGATTACAGCTAATATCAGGATACAGTGTGAGGCAGTAAAAAGAGATAATTATGAGGAAATGAGGAATTATCTGCTGTAGAAACAATAGATCAATTATGAGGTACAGCACAGTAGCTGCAGAGCAGCATTCTTGGGCTCTGAGGGTACTGTCTTTTCTTTCTCATCAACCAAAGAGAACCCACAGTTATAAAGCTTAATTATCCTCCAGGAGCTTGAGCTTGCTGACTAATTAGCCTCTTGTTGAGACAATACAGAAAAGGATATAATTCCAATTGTCCACAAAAATAGGATGGCACAGGCACAGTCCTGGCTCTTCCCTGTGTATTTATCTCTCTTGCCTTATGAGTACGAATGTAACAGCTTTGATATCTGCAGTTCTGGACAGCCTAAAAACAGTCCCCAGCCTAAAATAAATGGAGCCAGGGAAGGGAACTCCGGGAGGCGGGGGTAGGGATAAAGAGGAAGGAAGCAGTGTGTCTGCGGCAGCGTGCAATGGCAGTGGGAGCGTTCCCGCTGTTCATCCACAGATGAGCTGTGTGAATCCTGCCTTGCTCCTGTCACGGCACACACAGACACTTGCAGGGCTCTCACAAACGCAGACTAAGCTGGCTCTGATGCGCAGGGTATTACTACAGCAGTTGCAGGCTCTGTAGCTGCATGGCCACAGTTAGGAGTGCTTGAACTGAGATTTACAGTTCAAAGCGTTAAAAAAGTAAGGGCCGAAGCTCTTAGGAGCCAAGTTCTTGTCTGACAGGCCACTGTAGTCAAGAGCTGCCTGAGCTGAGAAACAGGACCTTGAGGTATACAACACAATACCACCAAAAAGGCACAAAAGCCCCTGGCGGGTGGGTTCATCCAGCACTTCCCATCATCCCGGTAAAGAAATTGTTTGATGTCTAGGCTGATGAGCAATATAGACTATCTGCAGTAACATGTCATTCGTGAGTGAGATTTTAGATGAGTTTATGGCACAGCCAGTGCAAATAGCCATTATGGTTAATAAATCAGTGTTGGTAATATTTGCAGTTAGCAAACACACAGGAAGGGAAAATGTCAGACCACATCTGCTCTGTACGGAGACAGGAGACACCTGACATTTCCTTCCACCTCAATGACTTCACTGCGCTTGTTTGGCCTTTGAAAACAGCTATTATTGTGCTGAATTCTCAAAGAAACTATTCTCAGTGAACCAGAATCCCCCCTGAAATCCACCTCCTTGATGGCAAACCCGGATTTCCTGCTGCTTCACTGGTTCTTTGGTCAGTGCCTCCCCTGCACCCACAGTCAGGGGAGCCAAGTTAAAGAGGCACAAATTGGCAGCTTCCTGGGCAGGTTAGCTCTAGACACCCATTCTACATCCTGCAGGGGAGGAATTCAGATACCACATCTCACTCCTTTTGGAGATACAGGTCTTCTTCACTCACAGTTTGCTCCCTGCTCGGGCAGTGGAGTCCTAAGGGTTATAATTTGGCAGTCAAAATAGGATGTCTAGTTTTCCTGAGGTCCTGCCCAGCCTTTTTAAAATCTCTGTTTGAAACAAACTGCAGGTTGTTTATCTATCCCTCCATCACCCAGTTCAGATGGCTCATTTCCATCAGCGTGACAGCTGTGCTGAACCTCATCTCATAAAAACACGAAGATTAGACCTGTGAATGTAAGTGCTCCCAAAAATCCAGTTCAGCAGAAGGTCAAAAGTAATTAATGCTTTAACCACTGAATTGCTGCAGGTGTACAAAGGGAAGCATCTTTCACCAGGTCCTGAAGGAAGGCACCTTCCACCTAATGGATGCTGCTCCAGGCCTCATTTCGGTCCCTGCACGAGCTCTGCTGCGAAGCAGGTGAGTACAGAGGAGTTGGAATGGAAAATGTAAGGGACTGTAATTACAGGGGAGATGCTCCAAGCTTTAAAATGCTCTCGGCACTTTGTCCACCAAAAAGTTTGTCCCGGGGCAGTGATACAAGCAAAGGCAGTGGCGTTGAACAGCCTCACGCCTGGACTGGCCTGTTTAAACTGATAAACTTATGTCCATGGGCTGCAGCCCCTGGACACCCCAGACATGGAACACGGGGAAAGCCTGCCATCCACCAAGGAAAACCTTTTGTGGTCCCACCACAGCAAGGCTCTTACCACTTAACATCAGTATTTTTAGGTAGGGTCCCCGAGCAAACAAAGCACAGGATTTGGGAATACAGAATGGACACAGTAAAAGGAGCATCTAAGGTCAGTTCTGCCACATCAAACTATACACGAGCTCTGCAGCAGGGTGAAGGATAATTAAAAGTATATGTATATATACACCATGTGAAAGTTCAGTTCCTGCTGGGGAGAAGCCAAAACATCAGCTTCCCACACCCCACGCCAAGGTCTGTGTAGGCACAGACGAGAGTCAGCCAAGCTACTTGGAAAACAAAACTGATTCATTTGCAGGGATCCAAAATCAAACCCTCGAGACAAGGAAAAGATGCCGTGATTTGCTTTTTGTGAGACAAACTCCTCCCCAGCCTCACCTTGGCTAACCTGGGCTCCAGATGTACCTGCAGTGGAGCAGAGCTGGGGGCACTGCCACAGCTGCCACACCTGCATGGAAGAGGGGAGACGTTCCCCTTTCCAGAGCCTGTCACGACCACGTGCATCTTGGTCAATTTTAGTATTTCAGTTAATAACAATTCTCACCCTTTTGTCTCAAAAAGGGGCTGTGCTATCCACAGGCTGTTGCAGCGCACCATGGAAAGAATGTTTGGGAGCAGACAAAGGCTGATGCTGAAAAGCATTTTTAAATTCAGGCTTGAAACAAACAGTTTGCCTTCTAACACCCTCATTTTTAAGAGCAGGCAAATAAGGGATTGTTCCTTTTTTCCCTCCTTCACAGGGTCAAAAGGGGAGGATATGGGAACAGGTTTTTGGTTTTTCTGTGTTCCGTTTTCAGGTGAATTTTTTTTTTTTTGCCAATCTGCTTTCTTTTTACCACAGGCATGAAACAACCCACCTGGCTAAGAGAATCCAACTGCATTGGAAGAGACCTCCGAGATCATCAAGTGCAACCCTTGATCCAACCCCACTGTGATTACCAGATCATGGCACTCAGTGCCACATCCAGCCTTCTCTTAAAAACCTCCAGGGACGGTGAATCCACCACCTCTCTAGGCAGGACATTGCAATGCCGGATCACTCTCTCTGTAGAGAACTTTCTAATATCCAACCTAAACCTCCCCTGGCAGTGCTTAGGCCCGTGCCCTCTTGTCCTACTGCTGACTGCCTGGGAGAAGAGACTGACTCAAAAAAAAATAAACAACCCAAACTCTTTCTATATGAATAATCAAATATATGCAGTAGAATAGAATTTTTAGATTTAGATAAAGGGGGAAAAAAACCCCAAAATACTAAACCCACTAGGCCTCTACAAAGTAAATTAAAGTACTTAGTGAAAGGAAATTCTGGCATATACAGTGGCTTTAAATTTCAAATATCCTTCAAGAAGTTATTAAACAGAGACACTACTGCTGAGAAAGAGACAAAATACAGCCATATTTTCTTAGTATGTCTCTTACAATTGCAAAAGAAGTAGTCATTACATTAGCTTAGTCTCAAAGTAATTTTTCCATTTTTAATGCCTTATGATTATTACAGGTTTTTAAAGAAGGCAGTAACTCGTATGAACAAGCTATTTGCATTCCGATTTTGCCTTTCTAGGTGTTTGTCAAACTAAGAGCCATATACTGGGCTTTACCCTATTTGAACCTTCATGGCTTTGCTGTAGGCTTCAGCCAGTATTGCGGTAAACTGTGCAAGCGAAGAAAGGCATTTGAATCTCCCCAGATTTGGCTCTCAAATTTGAAGCAGATGTGCCAAAGCTTAGAGCCTTCTAAAATACTCTTCTGTTAGCCGGTCAAAATTCTCTACAGAGTGTATCTACTGTCTGCTTAAGGGAGCCGTCTAAAATATTCTTCTACCAGCTGGTCAAAATTCTCTACAGAGTGTATCTACTGTCTGCTTAAGGGAGCCGTCTAAAATATTCTTCTACCAGCTGGTCAAAATTCTCTACAGAGTGTATCTACTGTCTGCTTAAGGGAGCCGTCTAAAATATTCTTCTACCAGCTGGTCAAAATTCTCTACCGAGTGTATCTACCGTCTGCTTAAGGAAGCCAGCGAATACTCCTCTGCATGGCAGTCTCGCCCCTTTCACCTGACCCCTTTGGGAATGAATTTACGGAACACCCCCTTGAAGATGGATTTACAGAAGGACATGTTGCTCTTCCTTCAAGGAAACTTAATCTCTGCAAACGAAGTATATGAAGAGAGCAGAATAGAACCAGGGGGCCTACAGGGAAGCCGGAGAGAAACTTCACGAGGTACTGTTGTGACGGGACAAGGAGTGATAGGTACAGACTGAAAGATGGGAAATTCGGGTTAGGTATTGGGAAGAAATTTTTCCCTGTCAGGGTGGTGAGACACGGGAACAGGTTGTCCAAGGGAGGTTGTGGCTGCTCCACCCCTGGTACTGTTCAAAGGCAGGTTGTACGGGGGCTTAGTGCAACCTGGTCTAGTGCAGATGTCCTGCACATGGCAGGGGGGACTGGAACTAGATCTTTAAGGTCTCTTCCAACCCCGTATCGTTCATTGATTCTAAATGTTGACTATGACCAGAAAGTGACAGCTGGCGCACAGATGGGGGACCGGCACCGGCACCGCCGGTCACCGCACCCGCACAGACACACAAAGCAACCGCTCGCAGGATGCTTTGCGCGTTTGTAATTACAAATCAGTTTATAATGCTAGCGCTGCACAGCGATGCTGTGCGCGCAGCCCTCACAGCCCCCGCTCCCCCCGTCCCCGCCCGGCTCTCACCTCCCCTGCGCGGCGGCGGGGTGCCCGGCGGGGCCCGGCCATCAGCACCCCATGGCGGGGCGGCGGCGCCGGGGCTCGTCCGCGGCGCTTCAGCACCGTGCGGGGCCCATGCCCGGGGCGGCGGCGGCGGCCGGCGGGCTCCTCATGTCGCCATGACGGGCGAGGGAAGGCTGAGGGGAGGTTGGGGGGGGAAGGAGGGGTAGGCCGGCCGCCGCCGCCCGGGAGGGAGGGAGGGGTTAAAATAAAATAAAATAAAATAAAAATGAAAAGGGAGGGGGGGGGAGCGAGAGGCAGCCCGCAGCCAGCCGCTTCCCGGGGGGATCGGGGAGGGGGGGTAGGAGGGGAAGAAGCACCGGCGAGGCGGCGCGAGCGCCCCTCAGCGCGGAGCCGCCTCACCGCCTCCCCTCAGCGCCGCCGCCAGGGGACAAAGCCCCGTGTGAGGGGGGGCGGAGGCCGCCGGCGGCTGTAGGCGGTTCTCCCCTCCCTGTTCTCCCCTCTCGGTTCTCCCCCGCCGCTCGGTGAGGGTTCCGCCGGCGGGCGGCTGTGAAGGGGAGCCGGGGAGGGGAGTAGGGGGCAGGCACTCTTTTTCCTGGCGGAAGGATCGCGGCGGCTGAGTCGCCTCGCGAAGGCATCCGCGGCGCGTGCGTGCGCGCGAGGCTTCGCGAGAGCGCGGAGGGGGCTCGGGGCAGGGCTCGAGGACGGGGTTTAAAGTGGCGTTTAAAACACTTTGTTTTAAGGCGTCTCTTTGTAATTGAGCCCCTTCTTGGGTGCACCCTCAGCAGAAGCGTCAAGTTCTTGCCTGTTCTGTGCCCGTTCCGTGTCTGTGTGTGCCGGGCAGAGCTCCTTGTTTATTCTCTAGAGATGTCTTATTTACTGCCCTGCAGAATGTAAACAGGGGCTTACCCTGGACTTTATTTGCTTCCTTAGGCCTTTCCCCAGCACAAAGCATGTCACTGCACTTTTCCTTCTCGTATCCAGGCTGTGTCTGGCATTCCCACTGGCTGCACAAGTGCTAGGGAAGCTAAGGTGTTGTCTTACAGCTCCATTCTTTAAAAACTGGACAACTAAACTTGTAAATGTCCACATTTTTTTGCAACTTAAGACCTTTTTTTTCTTTCTTTATGGGTTTGGGACTGTGTTACAGTACAGTACAGCACAGACCAGGAACAGAATAAATACTCGGCATGCAAATCCTGGCACGGTGAGGAGTGTCAGAATCTTGCCACACCACGAGAGGTTGAAATGAACAGATAAAAGCAAGAAGTTCAGAGCAAAGGCAACTCGTTTTCTTTAAACTCCTTCCAGTATCTGTAATTATTGGCTGTTCTGACAGCACACAAAGGAGGATTTCCTCTAGAGATAATAAGCACAGTGACATAAATCAAGCATGGGGAGAGCATAGATTTCTTTTTTTCAATTTATTTCCTGACAAATTAACTCTGAAGCAGTTTGCTGAAAATTCATCTGTCACAAGGGTTTTTTTTAGCCTTTTCCCTAGTAACTTACAAGACTGAAATGAAAGGCTATTTTTGCTGCACCAACCCCTCTATGCATAGGGTGAAGTGCTCTTAGAATTCAAGCCTGCTGTGTGCTGCTCCCTTCCATTTTTTTAATTTTCATCTTGACTTTTCAAACTGAGAAGGAGTAGAGAAGGGCAAGTCCTGCTGGAATTTTATCTCGCTTTCACAATTCTATTCTAGTTCTTCTGGGACTCCTTGCTTAAGAGTCGGTGTTTAAGAAGTCTGTAAAGCTGGGGCAGTTTTCCAAGATCCCACTGATAGTTTGTGGCAGTGACCACTAGCAAGGGATTTAGAGGGACACTGGTGGGAAAGAGATAGAGGCAGCCAGCAAGAATTCCATGTTTGTCCAGGGAGAGACCGACAGAGGTCATATCCAACCTAGACAAAAGAAATGAGCTGGGGGATTGCAATGAGGCACACCTGGAGCACGGCTGCTGGCTAATTGCGTGCAGGGGGTTTGAGTTGGACTGGATGCCCTGGACAAAAACTGCATGTCTTGGAGCAGTGTTAAGACTCCAAGGGCTGTGTCAGCAAAGGTAGAACGCTTTGGTTGCAGAGGTTCAGAGCCAAAGAGTGTGATGTGGAAAAGGGATCTTGCCCTGACAGGAAAGGCTTGGGGTGCAAGTGGATGAGAGGCTGGACAGGAGGTGTCCATGTACATTGGGATAGTTCAGCCTGGAGAAGAGAAGGCTTTAGGGTGATGTAATTGTGGCTTTCTAGTGCCAGAGGGGAGCCTGTAAGAAAGATGGAGAGAGACTATTTATAAGGGCCTGGAGTGACAGGACAAGCGGGAATGGCTTTAAATTGATAGTTATTATGTTTAGATTGGATTTGGGAAGAAATGCTTTCCTGTGAGGGTGGGGAGGCCCTGGCACAGGTTTGCCCAGAGAAGCTGTGGCTGCCCCGTCCCTGGCAGTGTCCAAGGCCAGGTTGGACGTGGCTTAGAGCAACCTGGGCTAGTGGAAGGTGTCCCTGCCCATGGCAAGGAAGTGGAACTGGATGAGCTTTAAGGTCTCTCCCCACCCAAACCATTCTACAATTCTGTGTATCCTTGCAGCAGACATTTCTGTCTATCTTTAAACACCCTTCAGAGAAAAAAACGCACAGTCTTGTGGTTTGGCTCCGTGTGGTGCTGTGGAAACCCAAGTGCTGCTCCCTGCCTGCCTTTTGACCAGTCAGTTAAACCCAGGGGTGCAAAGGTTAAGGCTCATTTTCATACCCACCCAACTTGGGTGCACTCAAAGTTCAGCACGGGCTCGCAGAGCTCGAGGAGTTCAAATCTGTGCACAGACAGCAGCTCCAGAGCAAGGACAGATTTACCCTCAGGTCGGGCAGGTTGGGAGGCTACATTCAAACGGTTGGTAAAGAATCTGAATATCCCGAGGGGCTGCAAACATTCAGACTTCTAACAACAACTGCTGCTTGGGTTTGGCTGGTCAAGTTCACTCAGTGACAGAGTTACCCAGTTATCCCTGTGGTTTTCCTTGTGTTTGTGCTTTGGCTCCAATCATTACCTAACTTATCTATATTTATTGCTAGCCTGTGATCCAAGCAGGCTTTGAGCAGCCCAGAGGAGGAGCCAATATTGATGTTGGTTTACAGAACAAAATCTTAAAAAAAATAATGGAAACAGACTCTTGGGGTTTCTTGGTTTTCCAAAAGCTGCAAAGAAAGCTAGACTCCATTTTTTGGTGAGAGGAACAATTTGCAGGTGTGGAAAGTTGGGAGAAGCAGCAGAAGGTAATAAGGAGAATCCTATAAACATATTTTATGGTGAAACGACCTGGCAAGGCTCTGGTCAGCTTCCAGGGAGGAAGTGCTCGACAAAGAAAAAATCATTGTCACATAGGAACTCTCCCAGAGGAATGAAATGGGTTTGAGCACTGAACTGTCTGATCCCTGTGAGAACTGAACTATCCAAAATCATTAGTTAGTTTTGAGAAATCTCACCCTTTTTTGTGCAATGAATGCATCAATGGAATGCCGATCTTCCCAGTAAGTCGTGTGGAAATCAGAATATACAAGTTATTGGGCTGCTCTGCCTTATAAGTGCATCGGCTGTGCTTGTTCTTACAGGCAATAATTAGCTGCCCTTGGGAAAAAAAAATAATCCTGTCTTCCTGGCAAAGGAAAAAAAGGAGCTAGATGCAGGCTCCTTCATTTCTCTGAGCTTCAATGTAGATTTGCACTGCAGCTGTTAAAGGCTGCTGACCTCAGAAACCATCAGCAGCAGAATTACGGGAGTGTCGCCTCGAGTGGAACATCCCCACGGCCTCTGAGGACTTTGTAGCTGTTCCCACCCTGCTCTTCCTACCAGCAGGAATCTAAATTATTTACTAGGAAAACAAACCCTTGTGTCTGAGCTGCACCAGATTCCCTTCCTATCTGTTCCCAGCACGGAGCTTCTCGAAACACCAGGACACAGTTCTGCTTTCAGCCGGAGCTGTGAAATACGTGCTCACATTTAGCAAATGAAGCACCTCTTTCACCTCATTCAGTGATTAATTCAGAGAGGAGAACTGCAGGCACTAAATTAACCTTTTTACCTGATTTAGTTTTACTAAATAAACAGCCCCATAATGTAATTTTCTCAACCAGAACAGCTATTTCCTGCGGTTTGCTTTCCTATTCGGAACGTGTTCCATTCCAAATCTATTTCATTTCACTTGGTAACAGTAATACCTTCAGACTGTGTCCCTTTTCCCTAGGGATTGCACCTGTAAATCCAGCATTCTTCCTAGAAAATAGATGGTTAGTCAGAAATGGCTGTCACAGCATGCAGGAACACCAACAGCAGATAGGAAGGTGCCTCCTCCTCAACAGCATTCCTAATTTTACCCTTTAGTGCTGGCAGCGTGAATGACCTAGTGGCATCAGTTAATACAGGTTTTCTTCCATTTTGCCCTTCCAGAACATCAAAATTCCTTCCTTTGCTCCCTTCCTGTCAATTGGTTGTACTGTGGTTATACTTCCCTGTAGCCATCATCAGGAATGAGTGGGTGGTTTATGTCCTAGGGAGTGGATATCAGCACTGCAGCAGTTCATAACCTTACAAAATGCGTTGCTGTGCCACTGGTAGCCGTGCCTTTTCCCATGGACCGTTTGCCGCCCTGTAACAGTGATTTTCCATGTGGATCAGGATCATGTTCACTGAGGGTACATCTG